TAAGTGTGTGGTTTGTGCATGCATGCGCGCTTTGTGTGCAGTGCTGAAAACGGAGCATTTAGAAGCTCAGCTGCTAACCTTCCAAGTCAGCAACAGTAAATAGGACAATGAGAGGTGGCGGAATCAGCTGTGCCACATGATTGAGATAAGCTAGAAAGCAGGAAATAAAGGACAGCATAGGGCGGATGTGGATGGGCGGGGTCAGCTGGTCATCGACACTACCGGTTTGCCCAAACCAGTCCGAACTGACTGAACACCACCTCTGGTTTGGAGCATTTATTATTGATGAAAAGTGCAAGAATCGTAGGGAAATTCCCCACTGCCTCCCATCTGAAAAGAAAAACAAAAGAAAGTTTCATTCGTACAGGAGCTTTCGGTTCCTGTATGTGATCAGGTCAAAGTATTTCAATAGGATGAGGTATGGAATACCAGAGAAAAGTAGAACTAGTTAAAAGCAGTTGCTACTATACAAGGGAGGATGCAAATCTAAACTGCAAATGCTGACTTTAATGGTACAGACATTCCCCCCCCCCCCCACGAGAACAGCAATTACTGAAGGAATTCACCTTTCAAGGTGTTCTTACTACTTGAATAATGGAGATGACTAATAAAAGCATGGCATTGAGGTAGTATAACAAAGAAAGAGGCTTGGTTAATAAGCTTTCCATCTTCTTGGCCTCGTATCTTTCCTTGTAATTATGTATATTTGATAACAGCATGTAACTTTCTATTTTATTAGTGAGGTTGCATGGCAAAATAATGGATTTTTAATACTTAACAAAAGATAGAAACTTGTTCAATATTTTTTTAAAAAAATACCAAATTATGTGTATTTTCTAGAGAAAAAAAACCCCCACAACCTTCTTTTGATTCCTTTTCCTGTCTTTCTTCCTAATTGAGATATAATGTTGAAAAATGTACTGTATTCTCATTCGAGGATGGGCTCGGAAGACAAAAACAACTGATCCTATTAAATGTTTTTATATTTTTCCCATCTCTGTGAAAAAATGTTTTTTTAAAAAGGTATCTTATTGTGGGATACTCTCTGTGGGAAATACTGTACGCATATCCTTGAATATATACCTACCTAAGAGATCAAGTCTAGATTATATGTGCATCAGCATTTATTGATGATTAGCAACCAAACTGATACTATTGATGCATTTTCATCCTGTACTCCCTGTATCTGATGAGGTCAATGGGAGAATAGAGTAGAGTAGAATAGAGTAGAGTAGGGTAGGGTAGGATAGGGTAGGGTAGGGTAGAGTAGGNTTGAGCTGGTGAGATTAGAACCGCTGAACTGCAGATAACAGTCAGCTGAAGTGGCCTGCAGTACTGCACCCTAACCACTGCGCCACCTCGGCAAGAGTCTGTATCAATAAGACAGAGTTCATGTAAGTCAGTCTCCTGATCTGGCTTTACCTCGAGGTGTTGATAACCCTAAAAGTACCAGTTTATAAGTACACTGCAAATATTCCACTAGTACGAACGATCGTAGGCTAAGAGTACATATACAAGTTCCATGCCCAACTTTCTGAGGCATAAGAGTTAGGGTTAGGTCTTTGCCTCTGTAGGTGTTTGGCTTTGATCGATAACGGCTTTATAAATGTATTAAACTGAATATGAACTGAATTGTGCCATAGAATGAGTTTATGTACACTATACTAGTGAGGAGGTGCGGTAGCTTAGTGGCTGAGATGCTAGGGTTGTCAGTTGGAAAACCATGAGCACCATGCTCCTGTCCTTGCCTCAGCTCCTACGAAACTACCAGTTCAAAAGCATGCAACTGCAAGTAGATAAATAGGTACCACTTCAGTGGGAAAGTAAAATGTCAACTTGTTGTTCCTTTTGTTAAGCCACGTATAGGTGATGGTGGTGGTGGTGGTTTTAAATTTATATTCTATCTTTTTCAAGAGGTCAGAAATGTATAATTTACATTTCTTTCTCCAATCTTATTTTCATAGTAATAGGTTTGTGGGTGAGGTTGGACTGATAAATAGTGATGGATCCAAAATTGCGCATTGAGCTTCTATGTCTGAAGCTGGATTGGATTGTGGGTCCCCCCACCAGATTTAACTTCACATTTAGCCTGATTTAAATTTGAAGATGTGGTGGAATCACCCGCTCAAGGGAAGCTGGAAGCATAGAGGTGTGCCAGCATGGAATTGCTCCATGGGAAGCCACATCATAGACCAGACTAATGAATTCTTATCTACTGGTTCTCAAGGGTATGCAGGAAGACTTGACAAGATTCTTGTAATATAGGTGATCAACAATAAAGAAACTGCTTTGGCCTACTCATGAATTTGCTCTGTCTCCTTGTGCCTGACAGAAAATGACTGTATGGGTTTAAAAACTGAAATTTTGAAATAAAAATATTTGCAACTGAGTTTTGAACTGTTATACTAAAAAGAAAAAAGAAAGAATCTACAGCCGTTTCCAGGACATTTTGTGATAATGCAGTTTCAAAATGTGTTAAGTAAATAAATAAATAATCTCTTTGATTCAGTTGATTCACCTTATCCAATGTTTTCCCTTTCTTCTACTTCCCTCAGCCTTCTAAGCACTTTTTAAAATTATGAGTATAATGATTTTTTCTTCTCCATGATCCACTTCTAACACATGCAAAAAGTATGTGGATTTTTGCTAGCTGATCATCACTGCAAGAGAACCCTTTTTTTTGTTTCAAGGACAGCTGATCAGTTATTCTTATAATCAATGGAATTCTTAGCAACCTCGCCAAATCCATAATTCAGAAGTATCTATCTTTTCTCTTATTTATTTTCATTCCTACCGGAAACAAATGCATTAGCTTTTTTGATCTTTGTTGTCACAGAAATAATTTTATCCTTTGTGATTTTGTTTAAATTTGTCATCTCCTGTAGGATCAATCTCTCCTTAATGTTTTTATCAATTTTTATCTTTTCTTGAGCCTTCCAAATAAAATTATCATCTCCTTTCCTGTCAATTGCATGTTCACTAAACTCTTATTTAAGATCAATCCAGATTTTTCACTTTATGTTTTTGTAGTGAGATTTCTAAGTCTTTTTAAAAATTTGGCTTTGGAAGTAGTATCATCTGCGTATCTCAAAATATTAGCACAATATTTCATCCTCTATTGTTCCCAGGGTCTACTCTTCCAATTCTACTATGCTTATAATTACTATATAAGTTAAACAGGTTTGAGGACAATAGGAATCCTTGGGTTTCTCTAAATAAGAAATATCCAACCTTGGCAACTTTAAGACTTAGTTGTCACTTATAAATCCCTTCATGGTATTGGACCTGGGTACTTGAGAGACCGCCTGCTGCCAATTACCTCCCAAAGACCNGGCAAGCCACTCCCACAAAGGAGGCCACACCCACAGAGTAGGTTTGAACACTTTTTAAAACCCACCACTGGTATAGGGTGAATCCGCATAAGAAAACCCGGTGAAATTGTTTACAAAATTTCAAATAGTCTTGAAATCCACTATGCTAAATCTGGGTCCCCCTTTATGGATGACAAGCAAGCCAGTGTTTGGTGGGTGATATAAGGCAAGCGTCAGGCACATGATAGGGCACAATATACAGCCAACAGGCTACACAACTAGCTTCCTACCTTGTCCTCTTCCACAACACGTTTGAGGGTTACAGATCCTTTTTAGATGTACCACTTCTAGTTCTAAATTTTCCAGTCTTTCCAGCAAAGCTTTAACCTGTCCAAGGACTTCACAGTCTCTCTTAGGAGTTTGCAGCTGAATGTTATGCCTGAATATAATGTTTTGCTCCTCATCCCCATCTACTTCACCATTCGTGAACAACATGTGATTGTTGTCTCGGAGAGGCCCCGGGTCTGGTTCCACTTTGAACTGAAAGGATTCAGGCGCATTAATCTTGTATGAGTGACTAAAGCTGATCTTCTGGGTTTGTTCAGAGCAGTTTTCGGGCTGAGCAGGGAGTTGTGTCAGGACCTCCAGGAAGGAGCAGTGCATCAGAATCCCCAGGAAAATAATCCACATGGCCATTGTGCTTCTGTAAATACAAGAAGAGAAAGGCTCAACTGGGGAAATAAGAAGGAAAGATGAGGTAAGCAATACAAAAGCTATTTTCTAGATATTATAAAGAGTGCAGGAAAAATATTTCTGGCAATCTTGACTGGGGAATTGATCAAGAGCTGATCTAGACATAAAAGAGATTTGTTGGGCATTGGTTATGCCTGCAGAATACACTCTGGCAACCCCTCGCTTCTTGCATAATAAATTCATACATAAATACATACCCATTCCTTTACACCATGTAAACTATGTTTCTCTGTTATTTGGAAAAATAGATTACTGTTGTGGCCCAGCAGGTGCCGTTGGAGCTGCCACCAGACTCCGACAGTGAGGGGCCCTATGAGTCGGCTCTGGAGGATGTGGAGGACCCTGCACAGGCTTCCGACGCCGAGCAGGGCGCAGAGAGGCTGGTTGGCCACCAGGTGGCACCTGAGCCTTGGACCAGTGGGGAGGAGATAAGGGAGTGTGATCGTGACATCATGCA